TCTACCCTTATATTTTATTTTATTTTAATTTATGAATTGATTTTTTTATATGTTATTTATTTTCTAGTAAATTTTGCTTTATTTTTATGTAATCATTTGTGACTGTAGATTAAAAATCAATAACATATTTTACAGAAGAACGAAAGGTTCCTTCTTGGTAAACTAAAACTGACCCTTTTTTAGAACTTGTAACAGGTAAACAGAGGAAGAAGCCAGCAGGTGCTATGTGTTAATCAAGCTTTGTGTCAGCCAATGAGAGTGTCACTATTCCTAATTACACCATCTTCCACCTGCTTCAGAAGTTTTCCATATGGCTCTCCCATACTGCTTTTCTTAGCCTTGGTTGATTTGACATGTTTCTAATTTCTCCTAGAAACCCCAGCAGAGAGTAATATCTGCAGAAGGAAGTAGACTGAGATAACTAAGGAATATCAGATAACAAGCTAATAAGCATTTTTGTTGGTACTGTATACGTAAACCTATCCACTTAAATAATATAATAAATTGGGTTGGCAATGTTTCAGATTCATCTCCCAAAGATGTAGCAGACAGGTGTTCTGATAAAATCTTCCCACATTCTGAAGCATATTTTGGAGATCAAGTTTAAAGCTCTGCACAAAACCCTAATAATAAATTCATAGCAATTCCCTTGGATAATCCAAGCATAATGGTCATCCCTTCTACCCACTTACAGTAATCTCAGAGAAGTATGTAAGCACTCATTGATAAGACAAATTAAAATACGTATGTCTTTTAAGCATGGGGCAAGGGAAAGGTTTTAGGGGGGGAAAATGGCAGGAATGATTATTACCATGTTCTCTAATCACCTAGTTGGAATGCCCAGTATAGCCAATTTATTTCAAAATCTATGATATAATGGTTAGGGTAAAGAATTAATTTTTATAAAATATGCTACTTATTTATTACAGGTTAAAATTCCTATTAGTCAAGGCTTGGACTGGAAGAATTCTATATTAATAAAAGGGAAAATGTCTTGCTGGATACTATCCCCTTTTCTTTTCTAGGAACATGGTCATCAGCAAAGAGAAAAAACAGAAAAAACAGAGGAAAAGAGGAAAATTAAGAAAGAAAAGTTAGCTAGTGCTCAAATCCATTTTATGTTCAGAAGATAAATGGATCTCTTTCATTTTTCCCATTCACATCTTCTTGAAGAAGAAAAGAAGGAAGTAGAGAGAGACATAACAATATCATCATCTACAGTATATGACTTGGCAGCACAAGGAAACAACAACTAACAACTCAATAGCCAGCCATCAGCATCCCAATCATCCAATAAAAAGCCATACACAATCCGGCACCAGAGAAATACTATGCATAGAGTAGCCCAAAGTACACATTCTGGTAGAGAGAAGTTCCCTGAGGATGGGCTCCAGCACAAGTCCCAAACCTAGGAAGGCTTAACCTCTGATCCTGGTGACTGACCCAGTTTAGATCCTGTAATTAGAACTCCACAAATGTTATCCTTTTTCTACTAGACCTACATGTTGCATATACTCCAAAACCACAAAACCTTCTTCGATCAATTTTTAATTAGAATTCTGTGGAATTGGGACCACTTATCTCCTCATTATCCATCCTACTCTTTCTTTTCAATAAGCAATTTAAAAATCTCTGTTCATTGGTTGCTTTGGTTTATTTTATTCAATTACTTTCAAGAAATTGACCAAATGTTATTTCTATGAAATTGTTCTTGTTTTCTTTATTTATGATTTCATATGGCCCAACCTAAACCTTAGGTTGATCCCATTCTCCTAGCTCATCATTATTATTACCTTCCTGAGAAGCTGGGACTAAATTCTAAGCAATCAGCATTTAGTAATGAATCAATCTCAACAGGCTAACAACCCCATACATTTTACAACTCATTTTCTCTTGAGGGAATTCCAATATGTCTTCATCCAGATGAGCTGTCTCCACCGCTGATTTATAGAAGATATCATAAAGCTGTCCATATCCAGAATTTATTCAGAGTCACTGTCAGAATTTCAGACCCTATTTAGGAAGTTACCTTTTTTAAGTACTAAATATTTTTCTAGACAACATCCCTGAACTCTAAGTGATAAAGAAACTCAGAAATCTGACCACAATAGCTGTACTAGGACCCTGCTCAGTGCCTTATTCTGGCAAAGTTTCTTATAAAGGAATGAATGTATGGTTCCAATTTTCAAGCGTTGTGATGTAACATATTTCACCGAATGTGACAGCCTGACTTGCAGTAATTGATCTGTGGTGTGCCAGACACGTCTTGGCCTAATGTTCAGAAGATGTGGGTTTCTCATTTACAAATATACATATACACACATCCCTCTGCCCACACAGGGCAGGGGAAATCATAATTAACTTTATCTAAACTTATAAACAGATCCTAAATCCAGGCAAGCCCAGAGGCCTGGCATTAGCCTCTTATAGACAGAGCTTGTCTAATCTAAACCAATGGGACTATGTTGGGTTTCTCCAGAAATGCACAGAATAGCAAAGCAAGGGAAGATGCTTGCTCAGCAGAAATAATTCAGTGTACATTTTTTTTACTAGCACCAAGATTAACAACATAAAATTAGAATAAACCTCATGCTAATGCAATAGGTCAAGTCTAACCATGAAAAAGGAACCAATGCTAGATATGACTCAAGAACAGAATGTAGAAGGATTTACTAGAAATATGTGATGTTAATATCCATGCAGGATCGGTAATGATCAGTGAATATTGATTCAATGAATATTCATGAGTCAGTTACAAACTACATTTGTATTATCGCACACCAGTGGTGGGTTCCTACCGGTTCAGACTGGTTTGACTGACAGCTTAGGTCGCTGGAACCGGCAGTGACCCAGGCCTGCCACGCCCCCAAACCGATTCTCTGTTCATCTCCACCCTCTTGTTTTTTGCTTCTGGCATGCACAGAACAATTTTTATTGTATTGTGCATGCACATGCACAAACGAACCCCCAATAGTGCCTACCAGAGCCCACCCCTGCCCCACACATGTTATAATCTCAACAAGTAACAACATTTAGACAACACTATCTCACTCAGAAACTATGAGGAGCTATATGTTTGGGTCATATTTGATTGGGAGAATGCCAGGGAATCCCAAGGCTGGATGAGTGATGGTAGAGTCAGGAAAATATCCCGGAAGATAGGTAAACACACTTGCGACTGTGCAACTAAAACTACACTGTTGTGTCCATGTTGATACCAGGAGGTGGGTTGTGGGCAGTTTTACTCTCTACAGAGTAAATAATAGGAGGGGGCTGGGAAGGTTTTAGATTAGATGAATTTTAGATTCTTTGGGTAACTTACTGGTTGGGAGAATATCTTCAGAGTTTTATGAGGAATTTGAGGAGTTTGAGTAGGTCAGTGAAGTGATGTTTTTTTTATTTGAAGTAGTTTCCATATGGAAGGCATTCCCTGATATTACTACCATCAAGAGGTATCTTCTAAGAGACTTGTTTCTAATATCTTACCATATGTTTATTTCCATTTTCTGTTAAGTTTGTAGACATTATCCAGCAAGGTAGAGTCTCCAGAAATATAGTACTTAGATTATATTGGCTATTAAGGAAGATTCCAGAAAGATCACTTCTTGATGTTTATAAGACATCACCAAGACTGAGTTCTAGAGAATTTACATTCTTAATTGTGAAGCTCAGCAAATCAAGTAGAGATTTCTACTACATCTCTGAATTAGCAAACAGAAGGATTGCGATACAGAAACCGATATTTCTCTTTTGAGAAATTTTCATTGGAAAACGTCAGGCTGGTTATGAGTGGGGATAAATGAAGAGGGTGAATAGTGCATGCTTTCTTCTCCCTTAAAAATAAAAGTTTTGAGGGAGTCTGATTTAGCTGGGTCATCATAACCTATGTTTTTTTTGTGTGTGTTTATTAATCACTCTAAAACTCCCTGATTTTTGCCCTCAACTTCCTCTAGGATACAAATGCTAAACTCTGGGCAAAGAAAAGGAAACAAGGAAGTAGGGCCTACTTAATACTGGAAGAACCTACAATTCGCCTCCTTGTATTCCTTCTTCCCTACTGCTTTCCCTGCTATAAGGGAAGAGAAAGCTTCTCATCATGTGGTGGCAGAGTTGCCAATGGCTGGAATGACTGAGCTGTGGAGGTTGGCCATGTCATCCCTGTAGAAATGAAATACCTATGGAATTTGTTACTTGCCAACCTTGAGGGAGAAATAACTCCCAACTTGTCAACCAATCAGCATCACAGCCTTTCCAGTCGAGGCAAGTTTTGACTATATCTCATCGTTTACCACAGAACTCCAGTGACTGTGATGACATCAGAGAAAGAGCATGTTTCTTCATTATTGTGAAGGACCCCACTGAGAAAAAATGAGACAGGAAACCCAGAGTCCTATAGATCTTTTAAAAATAAGCTTCTAAGTGCATTTAGCTCTCCCAGCCTCAACTTCCAAACTGTTTCCAGTGGAAATTATTCTGGGCAAACCAAATGAAAAGTCTTCTGTGCCTTTGGCTCAAATGTGCTTGCTTTCTCCTCCTCCCTCCTCCCCCACCCTCTTCCACTGCTCATCTCGAGGTATAAAAATCTATAACCGCAGAGCCAAGGAAGAGGACTTGATGAGAAATTCGTATGCCAGCCTTCCCACCACTGTAATTTCATTCTGCCTTTGTAATTGCCTGATATTACATTGTTCCCTGCCGGAAGATTAATTAGCTAGTCTTACCGTCCAACATACCATCCCTCTGAAACCCTCAAGGAAGCTGGCATGGTGCCAAGTCTTGCAGATTTGCTATGCAGGCTGGCAGCTGCTTCTCTTCTCCCTTAACAACAGTTGCTGTGCCAACATACACCCCCCCTATTTTCCCTCCCCAGCCCTCCGCCAAAGAGGTAGTGAAGTTTTAATGCCATCGGCTGGGCAGGGGTGGGGGGCGGGTGAAGAAACGAAAACCCCAAATAATACAACAGCACACAACCCGAAAGTCTGATTGGCATAATTACTCACACTCATTAAGTATGGCTGCACGGCATATGCAAATCGGGCAACTCGAGTACACGAGGCGCATCAAGCGGCTGGAGCATCAGCAATGCCTTTCAGATTCCTCAGCCCTGGCTGGGATGGTCGGGAAGAATGCGAGCGAGATGGCATCTTGCAGGGACGATGTGCCAGACGGACAGAAAGCAGCCTTTGCCTTCAAGCTCAGGACCTATGACGTTCCACAGAGGAAGGCTTGAAAAAAGGAAGGAAGGAAGGAAGGAAGGAAGGAAGGAAGGAAGGAAGGAAGGAAGGAAGGAAGGAAG